ACTGTAAGTAGACGATATACTGAAAAATGTGAAAGAGCTGCATGAACTTGCATAGTAGATCTGCATTTAGCAAGAATGCGACAGATTACGTATAAGATATTCCCTGAGACAGAGCCAAGCAGTGTACGGATAATTCTAGCATCAATCAATCCCGGAAACACGGAAATAATTCAAGAGATACCACATAAGGGTACCGAGGCCGAATCTCAATCATAAAAACCACTCCATCAATAGTCAACGATGTCTCAGCAATTCGAAAAGAGCCAAACACTAAAAGTGACTAAGTGCATCCGCACGAAAACCTAAAACCTGAAACCTGAAAAGAAGGAGGTGAACAAATAAACGCTAGCGCGCCGACGAGGAACACGAAAAACCAAAAAAAAAAGAAAAACGAGCGCGAAAGAACGACAAAAAACGAGTAAGGCGAGAGCGAGAGCGACGGCAACTTGTTTTCGAAAATGCTAAGCTGCGTATCACAGCAAATTGACTCCGTACATATATGTGCGCCGGACCCCTCCCATTTTGTGCGCCGGACCCCTCCCATTTTTTGCGCCGGAGACCTCCCATTTTCTGTGCCGGAGGCCTCCGATTTTCTGTCCCGGAGACCTCCCATTTTCTGTGCCGGAGGCCTCCAATTTTCTGTCCCGGACCCCTCATACTTTCTGCTCTGCGGCTCTTCCAAATCTGGCGGACTCGCGGCGGAGAGATTTGCAAGCCCGCCGGAGGGGTCCGATCTGCCTTCTTTGTGACGTCACAAGAAGGGACCGCCCCCTCGCCCCGCTCTCATTGGTCAACTGGGTCCGCCGCGACTCTGGCAGATTTCGACTCTCCGCCGGAGGGGTCCGATCGATTGTCTGAGTAGCTCAACTGATGATGGGAAATTTACTACGAACAGTAGTTCGGCACAAGAAGCCCACGACACAACGAAATAGTCAGGGGTTACATAAGAACGCTTGATATACGCTTGCCCCCTCATACCGCGGTCACGGATTACGACTTATAGACATTATTCTACAAGTCCATTGAGGTTGACCAGTAATTCGCAAAGGTTCTCAGTGGTCAAGGGCCATAATAAAACACGATAAAAAAAGTCTTGACAAAAAATTGAGTTCGAACAATAATCTCGTGTTAATTCTTCTTCTTGAGAACTGTCAAAGAACTCGACGTTACGTATGCTAACGTCACCAAAACTATTACCAAAACAAGTCGAAAGTGTAAGGTGTCTATATTTTCTTGACACGGCAATAGGTCCTGGCAGAATCAGGACACGACCAATTATTAGGTCGACCAATTATTAACTTCTCTCGTTTCATTTTCAAAAAGTTGTAAGTCTTTGCTATCTGGACAGGCTTGTTTGCCTTAATTTAGTCAAAAATTAACGAAAACTGCTACTTTGAAGAACTATATCAGCGAATTCTTCCCGTACCTTGACTGCAGAGATAAAATCGGATGAAAGAAATCATTCAAGCTTTAAGCATTTTAAGTTTTAGGCGTCAAAAATCTGAAACGTTGCAAGAAAATCCGAAACCTCAGCGTTCAATTATGATTTACCTTTTGCAAAAGAAAAATTTGTGCCGTTTGGACGTCTCGACGACGTGAAGAGTTATGAATTTCGAGTGTACTACAGAAAAGCCAACAATTAATTCTAAACTTTTCGCAAAAAATCACAACTTTTCGCAGAAACATTAAAACAACGCAGAGGAGAGAGACAACTCATATACTGAAGTTTTCAGGTTTTTCTGCTGCGTTCCAGATTCTTGGTGACCTAGGGCAGAACGATTAAGGCCTACATGGTATTCTTTTATCATTTTTATCTCTGCAGTCATGTGAAACACAAGCGCGCAAGACAGTTTTTGAAAGCGAAATGCTTATTCTTTCTAATGAAATTACAAAGGTGCAAATCCATTGAGATAGCGCAGTCGTAAATTTTTGGATATGAAATAGCAGAACTTTCGCCGATCTAATATAAAGCACACAGCTTACAACACTTGAAAATAGGTTTGGATAACGGAAAAGTAAAAAAAACCTTTGACATAAAACTTCTAATCATCGTATGCTAACAAACATAGCCATCTTTACTGTATATTGCAAGTCTGCTATTATTCAGTGCATATCCAGTCAGACTGAAGAAAAGAAACGAGGAAAAATTTGTGAGAAGAATATGGAAATATGCAAATGGGAATATCACCCAGGGATCTCCAGGAATAGAACGTTGAACGTGATCAGGGATGAAATTTGCCTTTCAACCTAAAACGAAGTCCAGCTTGACTCCACGACTTTTGCGCGGAGATTACACCTTGCTGCGCAAGTTACCCTACTTTCAGTATAAAGCACACCTTGTATGAAGCCGCACTCGCCGCAACGGAGACAGGCCCGAAAGCGATTTTCAGAAGGGTGTCTTTAAATCTCGCAAGCTGAGGACTCACGCGAACTCACACTGCATTTAGTGATTGCTCTTCACTGCGGATATGCATGTTTTCAGGTATTTTGTTTTGCTTATTTCAAGGTCTGTTCCACTGTTGGTTTCGAGGGTGAAAAGAAGTCCTATACAACTTTACAACTGATATGAGAAGAAAGCAACAAAGAGCGAAGTTATAATGTAACTACCATGCTCCTACATAAAATAAATAGTAGTTGGCTTGAGGTTGGGCCAGAGTGCACAGTGTAGCGGCTAAGCGACGTACGCAGCATACGCGCCATATCTTTATACATGTGAGCGTACGCGGCGTACGTCGCGTGCGCCGCGCAGTCTGACCCAATCGGATGGCTTGGATGGCTCGCTCAGCGCTGAAGCCATTGCACTCAGCCCCTGCGCGACAAAACTGAATGCTATAAACTGAACGCCGAAAAGTGGAGTACTCTGTAGCTTCGAGTACGGTAAAATACATTAGGTATTCCTGAGTACGTGGCATTATCTCCGATGCATAACTGTTTGCCAATTTACAATCAATTATTCATCCTTATTATTCAATAATCTGCATGGATTGAGCTGTTGTACAGACGGTTAATTTATTTTATTGTTTGATAACTGTCTTTCAACTTTTTATAGTGATTGGTTCGTGAGGAGTTCGCAGATTACACTGCAGTACCTTACAACATAAGTGATCGTAATCGTATTCTTTTTAAACCCCAAAACTCTCACAATGAAAAGTACTTGTTGCGCTAATGATTTCGTTTTCCCCATTTGTAGAACTCAGTATGAAGAAAGTGATGCTAAATCAGAAAGACAGCTTTTTTCAGTAGCAATGTATTGCTTAGTTTACTTCTTCATAGTGCAGAACCGCTCCTCCACAGGTTTCCGCTCCTCCACAGGTTTACTTTTCATGAAACGAATATATGGAACAGTTTTGCTGATCTTCTTCATCTTACAAAGGAAGGATACTAAGTAAGATTCGGCTTTTGAGATGAAACACATATATTTGGAAAGAGCTTGGAACGCTGATTCCAAATATGCTATTCCCAGCTGCTTAGCATTAATCTGAAGCGAGTTATGATCTCTTTTCTATGCAAAGTTTGCGTGCTCCTCGACCTACTCATGCTACGGTGCCGACGTCTAGGTGGTTTTGCAACTGTATCATGCTCCCTTTTGATATCGAAAGAATTAATCCGATGCTCGTTCAACATCCTAGCGCTTTCTTCGAGCAGGTTCTAATCTACACGCCGTCTTACGACATTCAGAAGTTTGTTATTTGCCCACAACTGCAGCCCATAACTCGCTCCGGAATAACGCTGAGCAGCTAGGAGCAGCATATTTGGAATCAGCGTTCAAAGCTGATTCCGAATATATGTGTACCATCTCAAAAGGCGAATCTAAGTTAGTATCCTTCCCTTGGTAGACTCCCGAACTCTGCTCAATTAGTTCAATAACTTTCAGCACTTTGCGAAGACAGATTTGTGATCAACAATCCGCACATTGAGTTACTCACATCCGGAAGGGCCAGAGCTGCTTAGTAAATGACTGAAGACTAAATCCGCTAAGGCGGGCACATCTTCTATTACCGTTGAGCCGACAGCAGTTCCACCTTATCAATAGTTAGTCTACCCGTAACAAAATAGCCTAAAATATTTGTTCTAAACTGCGGTCGCACTCCGAAATCAAGACATTTAACTATTTCGGACGAAAACAAATGAGTTAGTGCAACGGAAGCATGCTCACTCAATTTGCTGGACTTCGTCTCTTTATACTGCTAAAGTATTTCTTCTTCTTACATACATAGCCCTTCCAATCACACATATAATAGTGGACATGGAGGTGGATTCAATTATTGGATTCAATTTTTGGACTCAATTAGGTCCAAAAAATTTCGCGAATGGGTCGCGAAATTTTTTGGACCTAATTGAGTCATGGAGTTGTGAAAACCACTTTCCATAATTGAGTACGATTTTGAAATTTATTCCCAATAAGAAAATTTCAATTAACTTGTGAAGAAAGTATGCGAATTCTGTCGCACTCCTAGTCTTTTTTTACAAACGGGGTTGTAAGCCAGCTATAAATTGGAATGCGTTTCAAGATTTTCGATCGTATATCGCCGCGTCCTTCACATGAAAAATTTCCCTCCCCACCTCCCCCCAATCCTTCTAATCTAGGACCGCCATTGTTACTTGCCTACCCTTGGAAGACAAAATCGCAAACGAAACGAAAACTTTCATAGAAGCAAATTCCCTCCATCGTTATCAGTCGGCAATGGGAGCATGACTCACCGAATTTCGCAATAACGAGCGCCTAATGAAAAATCTGAAGTTCAGCATTCTAAGGAATCACTATGTTGAAACAAACAAAAACTGGTACCTCAATTGTGCAGAGTTTCGATGATTAAAAATGTCTTCTTCGTCTTACTAAGAACAATATATTTTAGATAGAATGAATAATGTTTGCTTTTTCTGCTTCAGAAGCGGCATTATTCGTACTTCTTTTGCTGACGTCTTCAAGATGCCGTTTTTCTCGAGCCAAAAATGACTTGACGCAAAAAAATCATCCATCGTTCTTGTTTGATGCGGCACCTGCACAAACATTTCTTAATGTTGGCTTTATAAACCAACACATAGCTGCCAAACGAGAGGAAAGCAGCTACACCAACTGAAACAATGCTTCGTAAGTTTTCACTGTTCATTGGCTATTCTGATACAAGAAAAGTTGTCCGTACTATGCATATTGTTTTGTGTGTAAATTGAATCCAACACCACAGAACAGTTTGCACATAATCGTTCTATGCATTAACAAATTCTTTTATTTTTAATTACGATTGTTCAGTCTTGCACAACAAACATAGTCACTTGTTATGACCTTGTCTTTTGAATAATTCGAACTTTCCAGCTTTAATACTCATATGTGTAAGCACATATTTGACGTTATCCTCAGCCGCCACCACATTCATGGATGACAGAGCACTGATACGTCACAAGAGACAGGCCTACTATGTGTGTGGAACTTACCCAAATCAGTATCAATCAACAACTCGTTAGTTTATCTTATTTTAAAGTATTAGTTTTTGTTTTGTGCAAAAAATTATATCGTCATACAAATTGTGACTTGCAAGGTACGTAGATTTATAGTGTACTGCCAAAACCTAGTCTAGAAGAATTTTGGAGAAAGAAGATTCTGTTGAATCAACAAATACGTTTCATTGCCCCTATACGACATGAAAACGTTCTTGCAGTATGAGTGAATTCGAACTAATTTGCACAACTGTGGTGGTTTTTCTATTCAACGTCCTCATTTCACTATGAAGTTAAGATTGTGATACGCATTCTAGTCACCCAGTTGTCAAAAACCCTGCAACTTTCTCACAATGAATGTTTCTGAATAGCCGTTATTCATAGTAAGTGGACCATGATCGAATCAAAAGAGATGGCTTCCAGAATTTTCAAATCGCTCAACGACTGCTGCAACTGCACAACCAATCATTCTTGTTTTGGCAAACACAGCGTTGCATTGAATGGCCTTACCGTAGTCAATTAACACATTGACGATCATGCAGATTTTTAGTTGTCTGCCTTCTGGGACTAGGGCCTTTTACGGATCAGCACACATTTTTCAACTATAATTACGCATATTGCCATCTACAATACACCTACAACAGATCTGAAAGGCTGACAAAAACAGTAGAGGTCATCCCTAGGTTCAGTGCAAAAGAGAGCCCGTGGAGTGAATTTATCCCGGATAGTAGCCATTTTAATAAAATCCAGGCCTTGACACACATGGTGTGTCAAGCGGTCCCAAGCGGTAGCCATTGCTCGATATGTTAATTGTGTCAGTCGGGACACCATCCGTTACACGTCATGATACAAATATTTAGTAAATTTGGGATGTGCACCACTGGACAGCTGTATCGCTTTTAGCTGTCCAGATTTACACTTCACGCTTTGAGTTGGCCAAAAATATTAGGCCGGCAAACAAAGAGATAAGTTTGATCGCTTTTGAAATTCCTACAAATGTTTGCAGACAAACTTTTGTTCGATACTTGGTATCTTATCTCTGGAAGTAGCATTCCAGTGGGAACTGAAATATGGAATGTGTTTGAGTAGAATTACTTTTCAGTGAAGGAAAAACGCAAGGAATGAGACCAATTTTTTCATTGTGCGCAAATGTGAAGAAATTTCGTACTTTGAACAAGATACTTTCACTACGGATCAGTTTCTTTTACTAATCGCTAGATAGAGCAAACCTACATGTATCCAAATATCAAATTACTCATCTCTACGTCAATCACAACATGTAAACAAGATTTGCATTTGAGATTTAAGCTTTGGAAATTGAGTCACGTTGGGACATGCCGTTCTTTGTGATACAAAAAATAGTCGATATGTGGTGGTAGAAGCTACAAACTACTTCAACGCAGAGAATCATAAATCAAAAACAACAAAACAAATTTTTATGAAGATTTGCAGGCCAAAACGAACTTTTAGCCTACCCCTGATATCAAAATCATACAGTATTGCAGCATGCCCTACACAGACGACTTGTCCCAATGGAGGTCGTTTCTTGTACGTAGGCTGCAGGTTTTCTGCTCAGTGCACTCTATACTATAGGTAAAACCATATTTTTCGAATCGATGCGCATGATCTCAGCGGAATTTTTTTTCTTTTGCAGTGGTATGAGTACATGTATAAATGGATGCTGCACTGTGCCCACAATACCCACAATGCCGCCTTCAACAGATCGCTTCGGTGACATCCCTTCAATTGATAAAAGTCCTTCAGTTTTATTTCAACACTCAAGGCTTTTGTCCGTCTGGACAATTGTCGGAAGTTCGATGCAGTGGTCGTTATCAGTGCCAAGCTGGTCAAACCTGTATGACTGGACTGTGCTGCACAACCATTGGTAACGAACGGAACGGTACGTACAAAGTGCTCGTTCTTTCATATGCCGCTATTTGAACTTGCCAGTCATGAAATTCTCCTCCCAGTGGCTTGTGGTGGACTGGCAGCACTGGCTTCGTGTAACAGCGGAACGTGTACTACAGGAGTTTGCACTGCATCAAACTACTGCTGTAAATGCCTGGTAGGCAGAAGTTCGGGACGTTGCAGTAATGTAAGTGCCTGAATTCGAAAGTAGAGAAGTAAAGAAGTAAACATTTGGGTGCAATGTCCTCTGATCCTGCCTTTTTATTTTGTTGGGGGAAAGTCAATACTTATTATTGAGGTGATCAGGAAGTAATGGGACTAATAGGATGGAAGCTTGATCTCTTGAACATCTTAAGAATTTTCGTTTTGATTTTTGAAGGTAGTGTCTCACAAAAATTGGGGTAGTGTCTCCCCAATTTTTGTGAGACATTGTTATAGGACTGTTATTTTGTTATAGGACTCTGTGATTAGGCGGAGTTCCTACTCGATCCTGGCCCTTCTACGACGCGAAATTTGCCCTCAAAGAGGCCCGCAGAGCGCCATTTCGGCCGCACGTCCGACACTCCCGGTTTCCCCTTTCGTGTTCCAACATGTCCCTCCACTTGGCGTTCACTTCATGGTGCTGCTGTTTCTGTGGCAAAGGTTAGACTGTGAAGGCACAACTCGTCCGCGTTGCTTTCACGGAGCTTTCAAAAGACGGGGTTTGCATTTCATGCGATTTTGGATCCGCACTGAGTTTGAAAGGGACAAAGGCTCGCAGTACGCAAAAATTTCGACAACCAAGTTTTGGTGAGACACGGTCTTTATGTACAAGGCAGCAACTAAAATGTCATTCACCTATCATTCTGGCAGCGCGCTACCACTTCTCTCCTAAGATTTTTGGAGTGACACTTTGAAGAACACTTTGACACTTTTTTGGAGTGACATCTGCACTTTTATATCGCAATATCGTCATGCAAGCGACGGTTCGAAAGAGCTCTTCAAGCTTCTCTAGATGACCTATCAACTATGTAAATTTACTTATGTTCAATTCAAGAAAGCGGGATATTTTGCCGCCAAAAACTCGTATACAGTCTGCTCCAATCGGGATCAGGCCGAACCGTCGGCCTAAATTTGCGCGCTCGCAGCGCTAGCGGTCTGCGCTGCATATGCGCGCTGTCGGAGAGAGCAAAAGGACTGCAGAGAGAGCAGAGAAGCAGGCCGTGGGCGTGACCGCGAAAGCCTAGCGACGCGGACTCCCGCCATGCCAATCTTGGCCTGGTTGTGATTGGGGCAGACTGTAGGCTGCTGCACGACGAAGGCGCAATATTTTGGACGCTAACGAGGCTTTATTAGCCGCAGAGCGCATAAGGCGCAGGATTCAGAAGGTTGAGTACGCGCGCCGCGTTGCGCCCGTTCAATACTGGTTCTGCGCCTTCATCATGCAGTAGTCTTTAACTGTATCAGTCTTTGATATTCGAAGGCAGGGAAACATTGAACTAAATTGTACATGGGTGGGTAAAGAGCACAAAAAGCTTTTCAGGTGGTAAACAAAAGAATGTGAGTTCACATGCAAAATAAATAAAGAGACCCTTACCCAAAACCGCTCATGATTGTGTTTGACGGGTGCGGTGCAGGAGGGGCCAAAGGCCTGCCGCCTGTAGCCGTAAGAGATAATTAGGAGCGCGAGCGCTGTGAAGGAGATTTTGGCCAGGATCCAGGAAAACCTGGCGAGGACATCTAATAGAGACAAACCTTTATAACTCTTCTTGGAATTAACCTCCAAGGATACGAAGAACAGATTTGGAATTAGTATTGGAATGCGCATTTTTTGGTAATACGCCTACAGGATAGCTAAACAAGTCTGTCTCGCTACTCAAGTTCTATTTTTACCAAAAACTGAACCTTTAATTTCACCATTAAAAACAGAGGAGTTTCGAGTCTATGCTGTGCGAAAGATTTTAAGTGAATTTTTTTGATTAATATTTCTGGATTCGAAGTTGAAAGTAGGGAGTGGTAATCAGGAAATAATGTTAACTGAGTTGCATGTGATGAACTTTTGCTATTGTGTACAGCCTCTGAATGATTACCGACGTAGTTTTATTGGCGAGTCCTATAGCCTCCAGAAGTATTTTATGACATTCTGATTGCTTCGGTTCATTTAATCAAAAGGCAAACTATTCTTTTATCCAAAGAAAATTTTGAGAATCTTGGCATTAATTGAAACTTAATTCATAAAACAAGGTTTCTACAAGGAAATTAACTTTTCTTATCAGTCAATTCCCAAGTTTCACTTCCTTTTAGGCCTAGTGAATGCGCCTTCCAATTTACATTACAAATCTATTTTTCAAATTCTTCGAAGTCATCTCCAGGAAAAATTATGAAGACTTGTTTCCAGAGGATGTTCTTGCCAAGTTTTCTTGGATACTTGCCGAAATATTCTCCAGCGCTCGCGCTCTTAACTATCTCCTGCGGATAAAGGCGGCACCCCTTTAATTCCTCCCGCGCCACCCCCGTGTCTGATTGTGTCCCTTAACAAACTCCCGTCATTTTTGGTTCTTTTAAGCCCAACTTGTACTTAGGGCCCTTCAGTCCGGCATTCAGTGAGTTTTCGATCTAGATACGGATGAATTCCGTGACAATCGTGCGCGTTCCGAAAGAAGAATTATCTACACTATTCAAGCAGGTGTACTCAAATGGATAGATGATAGCGATTGAGCAATGCATATGGGGCGGTCGTGGGGACAATACGGGCTAGCGGGTCTTTTTTGCTCCACCCAGTGCGAACAAGGACAGCATCGAAAAATTGATAATGATCGTTGTGATATCGTCTAGCAAATGGGCAAACAAACGAAGCCATGATATTTTGGCATCAATTTTTAGTAATTATAATCTTTGGAACATACATGATAAGATTGAATTCTTTATCTAGGCTGTCATCAACTGAAACAAACCCTGCAAAAAAGAGAAGGCATTTGTTTGCCTATTTACCGGCTGTAGCCGGCCGTTCATTGGTTTTATAGCCAAAAACAGACCTCGAAATCATGCAGCTTTGCGCTTTCCTTTATAGCAGCATCAAATGACGTGTGCTGTAAATTACTCCCGAGCAACCTATCAAATTCTCAGGGGTTTCATCGTTTGCATATCATTTTCGTATTACCCTTACAGAAGTCATTTGAGATCAGCGCAGTGCCTGACCGGACGTTCAGTTGTCAGCCCACTTTGCATTCTCATAGGGGAGTGGCCTCTCGTAAGTTCACTTACGAATCAAAAATGAGGCCCTTACTTGAGATTATCTAACCGACCGAACGTTACTACGGGCTTATATCACCTTTCTTGAGGACCTGGTAGAGCTGTGACAATTTTGTGACAGTCTCAACCGTCGGCACGCACCAGTAGTTTGAGCAACCTCACATGCTTCACTGCGCATATACTGCTGAAAGTAGCTCACAATTGCCTGAAGTGATTTGTTGCAGATCGTAAAAAATATCACGCATGCATGACATGTTCCACAATCGTTTAAAATTTGAGCTTCTTAATCCTCTTTCATGTGAAAGCTGCAATTATTTTCGTGCTCTTCATTTCCCGATCACCTCATATCTGCATAGCATGTTGTGACCCCATGGAATATAAACTAAATTTTACACACATATATTAAGGGTCAGGGGAAGTTATAGGAATTTGCATAAAGTGTTGGCAAATATTGATTTTTTGCATTTTTTTCTGGAAGGCCAAAAATAGGCGAATGAGCATGACTGAGCGTGCATGCATTAATGTAAGGTGTACAGCCGTATAAAAGTGCAAATTCAAAAGCGGAGAACGCGGCTCTATTACCTTAAAGGTTTCTTGGTTCCTTCATACTACGCCGCAGGACGCGGCGTGCGCCGCTCGATGTGAAGGAACACTTTTGAAGAACACAACGTGCAGCAAATATAGAGATATAATACATCCATAGCCAGCGAAGCTGTGCTGCCATGAGCGCATAATTCCACTGCGACTGCAGGGGTAGAGGAACGAACGCCTCAATTAGACATCACCTCGCGGACTCCAGGTCCTTTCGTTCTACTGTTGTGCATCGTGTTGGGACCAGTGGTCGCGGAGGCGGTGCCTAATTGAAGTGTTCGTTCCTCCACCCCGACTGCAGCGACGCACGCCGCCGGCGTACGCAGCGTACGTCGCGTACGCTCCTATGATGAAACATGCCGAGCGTGCGCTGTGTACGTCGCGTACGCCGCTCTACCATCGTAGTCTGGCCCAATCCTATGATGAAATATACCCAGCGTACATACGCTGCGTACGTCACCTACGTCCGTACGCCGCGTACTCTGGTTCAACCCTAAGGGAGCAGAAGGCGCGGAAGTAGAACGATGTAACCACGCTCGAGCCTGGATTGCCTTTGTCTCTGCGTCCGAATGTAGACTTTATCTACCTTTGGCCAAATTCTAGCGTGCATTTCTTGATTTTTGCACTTTATGCTCAGTAGGGCCAAACCAGGTCAAGTCAACGTGCTGATCATGCAACGATTTCTTAAAGGCATTATTGATCGCTCAACCGATCAATTAGAAGAAAGTATCATCTGAATGTCCAAGTAGCTGGCACATTCGGCACCTTCGGTCGCTGTTAGCACTATAGGGTTCGCTCCCTGTCATTAAAATCCTGTCGCAATTCTACATGCTAATTTCCTGCCTTTACAACTGTGGTTCCTAACAGCAGATTCATTTATCATGCAGACTCATTGAACACAAGCGGAACAAAATAAATTCTTTCGTCTACAGGCGTCATCGTGCCCTGTTGAAGGCATGCTTAAAGCTTGTTGCTAACGAAAAGCGAATAGTTTTTTTTTCGAAACAGAAATGTCATTCAAATCTATGAATCTATGGGCCTACTAATTATTGAGCCTCTTTGAAAATTTTAATGGGTAAAGTGAGTAGAGATGGTATGATGATGGAGCTGGATCACAAAATAAACTGTAATATCAAACTTTCAGAAATAGCGTATAAATTCATACTTACAATTCGAGATGTCTTTTCAGGGTATTTGCCCTGCAGGATTCGCCTGCAATAATGGTTTCTGTTGTCCGCAATGTCCTAACAATGTGATGCCATTTGGAGCATGTCGAAATGGTATCTGTGGAGGAGGAAAAACATGTCGAACCGGCAACATATGCTGCTGATGTAAGAAATCGTTGAATGATCACTATCTTTGTTTAAATTGCATTTTCTACATTTTTGAAGAGTTCTATACAAGAATGAAATTATGGAATTGATCGCATCACACAACATTACCTGGTCAGTTGAATAAGTGAGCATTCTCTGCTACATCGCAATGTTAGATGTATGAACTACGAGTTGAACACAGTGCGATCTAACGTCTAGGATCCTTAACTTCAACTTTGTAGTAATCTATGCAGCATAAAAAAGTTTCTGAATGGTGCAGAAGAGATATTGTAAATTTTTGTTACACCACATATGAATTGATCCTCTATAAATGATCTCCACCGTCCGCCTCCCGCAACCTCTCTCCTTTCCTGAGCAAAATGTCTTCTTACGATGTTTTCGGCAAAATAAAGCAGAGAGCTACTAGAAGTTAGGAATGCTTCAAACCATATTAAACGGAACGTACAGTCTGCCCCAATTGGGATTAGGCCGAACCGTCGGCGTGGATTTGTGCGCTCGCAGCGCTAGACGTTTGTGCTGCATATGCGCGCTGGGAGAGAGAGCGAGGAGATCGGAGAGGGAGCAGACAAGCAGGGCCGTGAGCGTGACTGCGAAGCCCTAGCGACGCGGACTCCCGCCATGCCAATTTTGGCCTGATTAGGATAGGGGCAAACTGTAAACCTAGCGTCATCGTATCATCTGAAGAAACTTATGCAAGATTAAACACTGATGACATTTTATATGAAAGCAGTGTCACACTTATTACTTACTTCAGTTCATAATTTTGATCGCAGAAGCATACAATAGGTATAAAAAGCGCTGCGACGGTCCAGCACCAGAATCCACATCTCTGATGTCTTTCATATTCTGCTCCGTATTGCAATAGTCAGACTTGTAACAGCAGCGAGTCAGTGCGAACAACGGCAGCATCTCACAGCCTTCTCTCTAAAACTGTGTACGGTGGGAAAATGAAATGAATTTCAGAAATGTAGAAGTTCACAATTTTTGATATTGAATCTACATTACCATTTAGAGATAATAGTCGATAAACACAAAGGTATATGCAAACAAGTAATTGCAATCGCCTTGGTTTCCCTGAAGGCATTATTGTCAATTTCGGGCCTCTTCATGGCTCTAATCTCAAAGCTGAAGCGCAAATCGCGTAAAGTATCGACCTCGTATTGGAGAAACTATTTATGCTGCATAAGTGCATCAAAGTTAAAGATGGTGAGCCTCTTTTGGGGTATATTAGGTCGTCTTTCATTCTCATTCTCATCTATTCGAGGAGCGGTTGATTTGAAGATGCGTACATCACTGAGATTGGGAGGCGTGCAAGTGGTACCCGGGCAGCCGACTGCTGCCGCAGCCAGCCGCCAGAGCTGTCGGCAAAGCCGCTGCAGATGGTACAGTAATTACGCTCGTCGTTTAAAACCCTTGCCAAAGGTTTTCTTGCACCTCTTCGCTCTGGGGTACGATATCTGCCTCAGGAAAGCGTGATATCTTCGATACTATCATTTTAATCAGCAGAAAATTCATGTTTTTTTGAGAAACATGCAGATAAACAAGGGTAAACAGGGTGGGTTTTTTTGAAGAAAAATGATCATGAAATCAAATCACTTGAAAAACTCCAAGGAAGCAGAAGCTGAAAAGTTTAGAAATTGAATTTCTAGAGATTTTTTCTCCCTTTTACTTCGAAGAAAGGACGAGAACAATTACAGGAAAATGTAATGGATATAAGGGCAAGAAAACTCTGTCAAAGTGATAATTTCATACACAGTGATGTTAAGCGAGCTTAGAATGAAAGAAGATGAAAATATGCCACATCTACTGATATAAAAGCGAACGTGAGATTAGCTGATCATACCCTTTGATCTAAACTAAATATTTTTGATGGAAAGCTAATTTGCTTTGATTCGCTTCCAAAAAAGATCTCTAAAAGGGCAAAAAGAATTATTTCCGGCATTTGCTTATTGTTTTCTTATCAAAAAAGCGTTTCGCGCAGATTTTTTTTGCGAGACAAAAAAAGAGTGAATTACCAAAATTTACCAAGAGTCTACAAGTTGACTCTAACCATAACTTTTTGCAGGATGGGCAGCAGATATGCATTAAGAATTGCTAGGCAATGAACAAAACGGTCGCTTTTAGCGTACCCCGACTGCACCGTCTAAACCAATTCCTGTTGCAGAAAAGGCGTAATAAGCAGGTCTGGTGAGCTTTTCTACGCGACAAAACTTAGCCCCTTAGGACAACCGTCGTCATAGCTGTCCCGCAAGACATGGCAAGGGCGTACTTTAGTTTCCAGTGTACTCCTGAGATCTCGTTCTAGCACATCACCATCTGTGCTAGTCTATCACAAATCATATGAACGACGTCTGTTTTGATTTGGAAACGATGAAAATATCTCAGGCGCTAGACAGACTATTTTTTAGACTAGACCCCCTGAGTTTTGGAAAAGCGGAGCTAATCTGACCGCATGGTGACAGAAGGTTGTGTGCAACAACGGAACATGTATCACCTGACTGATTCTTGATAGAATTTTGACATTTTGTTGATTGATAAAAACTCTATGAACCTGTGAAACGACCTAGTATTCTGGATTGAAAAGTTGCATCTCTCGAGCCGATTCGGCGCCTGCCTTGATTAAAGGATTTATTGCATGGCATCTATTTCTGCGGTAGGCTGATTTTTCTCGGACGCTGCCTCCAAATTTTTTCGAATAGATTGATGTCTCCAATGTGGCTCTACTAACAAGGAAGGGATACTTGATGTATGCCACCTTATGATGAAGCATTCAGATTTGGAAATGTTTCGAAAAGCTGATTGTGAATCTGGCTTTAATTTTTGGCACAAAATTTTTCAAAGTTGTGTGTGTGTGTGTTTGTATTAACGTTTCCAACGTTGAAATATGGAGTATATAGACAAGAAAATTTACCGCGCTCCAAAAAAAAGACAACCCGACTATCAAATCGCAACGGACTGTTTAAGTGTTTCTAATACGTTAGCTTAGCAATAGCTTTAAGCCTCTGCTCTCACATATCTCATATGTCACTAATCCAAAAATTTCCGTCATCAGTAAGTGGCAACTATGCGCTGATATGCTTGCTTTCTAGTCGTTTTTTGAAGCTCCAAGTTTCGTACTCAGCCTAGAATGAGTGCACAGATGAGCAAACTAGTGATTAAATACACATTCTTTGGCTACATGGAACCACAATGGAGATTGTAATCTGCTGTTTGTGAGTCTCTGCAGCCTAACATATGAGAAATTGCAAGCTTTGGCTTTGAAATGTCATTTTTGGGAAATCTGATGGTCTGTGTTTGGCCGTGTACGGTCATGTAAATGGTCGGAAAGTTGAAAGTTTTTGTGTGGATGCCAAATGCACCTTGTAGACCCAATCTTAGTAGGGTTTTATGAGTAAAAATTTTTTTCGGAAATTTGATGAGGAAATTTGGCTATTTACTTTCCTGCACCATTTGTTAATGAAAAAAGTATTATTTGAAGAAAAAGAGTTAACCACACGATTCCCCCTTGATTTGTTCTTTCGAATGGTACCATGCATTCGCACATTAGTCATGTTACGTTTCTACAAACAATACTAGGTTGTAAAGAAAATTCTAATCACTTTTGAAAAAATTTTCCAAACATCGTAACTTCAAGCAGACTGATCCTTTTGAATTTTGCTGAAAAGAATGGTGTTTTCTACAAGATATGCGTATTTTATTGAGTCCTCGGCACTTCATTTCTGTCCACTAGCATGCGCAGAAGGAAAACCTTCCTTATACGAAATGAGTCCAAATTGTGATTACTGCAAACCAGTGTCCTCCAACCGAAAATGAGTCGCTAAATTTTCAAAAGTTACTTACATGGGTTTAAAAAGGTGCAATTGACTTGTTTATGTCTGTAAATAATTAAAATATTATAATTTTTCAATTATTCCCTGAAGTGGCCGCCACCTCCCCCCTCTTTCTAAAATTTCGAGCTTATGAATCAGCAAAAATATCTGTAAATGATTGAAATATTTTCATAATTTTTCAAATATTCGTACTTGTCTTGTGAAAAATTTTTCTTGATGTGGCTGCCCTCCCCTGTTTCTAACAAAGGAAGGATACTCGATCGCAGTGATGATTGAGTAAGCGGTGTATACCGCGTAGACCGTCCTCAAACAGTGATCTCCAGACCGCACTTCATACCTGCTATGACGTCATTCTAGAAGAGCTATGAAGGATTTTGCAAAAACCAAAACCCGCGGCATCCGAGGGGAATCGAGCCCACGACATCCAGTTCACCAGTCCAAGCCACTATCCACTATACTTGGGTAATTCGAAAACTTTTCATCGAATGAATGAATTTCGAATAAATTCGAAAACGAAAAATTCCGAATAAACGAATCTTGAATAAATTCGAAAATAAAAAATCTCGAATAAACGAATATCGAATAAATTTGAGGTTCAAAAATTCTCGAATGAATGAATTCCGAATAAATTCGGAAAATCAAAAATATCGAATGAATGAATATCGAATATATTCGAACATTGGAAGCCGAATTTCGAATAAATATTCGAATGATTTATCGAATAACTAGAGCAACCATATCTCAAACTTGCCGACATATCTGGCTAAAGCCGATCCATTCATAATCAGCACCCTTGTATCCCCTACACCAACTCCTAACTCAAAATTTTCCAAAAATCGCTGAAATCGATAAAATAGACTTCGGTTTTAATCAGCATCCTCATTTGCTCCCCCCTCCCCCCTGTACCAACTTCCAACCTTGTAGCTCGAGATTTTAAAAAATTGGCAAAATCGATAAAGTAAATCTTTATTCATAATCAGCGCCCTCACTTATTCTCCTGTACCAACTCCCATCCCGCAGCTCAAACTTCTCCAAAAATCGATGAAGTTGGTCGGTTGGCAACTACTCAGATAATCGCCGGGGGCAGGCGGCCATGCGAATTTTGAGCAAGCGCGCACCGGAAAAAGTTCGCTGATTTCTTGCGGTCCGCTTGCAGAAATTTGGAATAATTTTAGCGAAATTTTAGACGAATGCTTGGAGAACAATCGCGGTTTCCTTATAGATTAGCTGCGGCGCAGTGGCCGCATTCTCGCGGACTTTCCGCGAGAATATGCAAAAAT